CCCAGCTATAAATAGGAGCAGGTACCGCCTTTTGGGGTGGGTGAATTTCCAGCAGTCAGCTCTGACAGTCGGACCAAACATACTTGCTGTAACACTCTCGTTTGTATATGTTTGTATTACTGTTTCTGCTAATATATTTGTTTAACTCGATTCCTCTCTTTATTTCTGGCCCTAACAAGGCCACAGCAGTTTAAACCTTCCAAAGTGTATAAATCCCCCCAAACGTATAATTACACCCAAATATATATAAATAGCGCTAAAAATGTATAACTTCCCACAACATGTAAATAATACCCAAAATCTATAAATCACCCCTTAAAATGTATAAATCCCCCAGAAATGTATAAATTGCCCCAAAAATGTATAAATCCACCAAAATGTATAAAACCCTCCAAAAATATATAATTCCCCACAAAATGCAAAAATCTTCCCGAAATTGTAATCTCGCACAAAAATGTATAGATCGCCCCAAAACATATAAATTAAAACAAGATCTTCATGAATAAACTGAGTGACAGAAGTTCACTAAAGAAGAGAAAAATTTACCCGAGGAGAAATTTCAGTAAACTTTAATAATGACTAAAGGTTAAACCCCTTTTGTCAGGATAGGGGACTGCTTAGAATACATCGATAATAATTTCAGAAATTTGTTAGCCAAGGATGGTGAGTTCGATCCTAGGTCGGACCGCAAGAGTCAGCATAGTTAACAAAAAGGATGAAAATAGCTTTTCAAAAGAATGAAATTTACCGGCTGTGTATAAAGTAATAAAGATTTCAAGAGAAAACCAGTCCTTTTTTCTGTGGATATGTTTCATAATCTCCATGGCCACGGACTTGGTGCCTAAATTAAAGACGAGTTCCTATGCGGCAGAAACCCCCCAAAAGTGAACCCTGACTTCCCGTATATATGATTTCCACGCGGGCTGTTGTCCACAGTGACACTTTCATTTTCCCTCTGTACCATCCCTCGGGATGATGGAAATGTAATCTTCAACCAAAAAGCTAAGGCGGATTGTTAATGATTATCCCTCAGTTAGCTTTCATATTTGGGGGTAACTTCAATATTAACCACTACGTGTGGTTGGTCCACTCGTACAAAACCAATGAATCAAGCAGCTTTTACCGAGACTTCTTCGTCGCCCACAAACTGATTTTTACGGCTTATCAGCCTTGAAAACTAGAAAATATTTTTAGATTGTAATAATTTTAGGGGGATAATAATTATTCATTGATAAATTTCCTAATAACCAAACTGGAGTTAGAGTAGAGAATAAGTGTGTTCATAACTTTCCGAGGTGTATCTTCGCGTAAATGAAGATGAAGAAGTTGATTGGAATTAGAACTCGATTCTCCAATTTCTAATTTCTAACCGTTATTCATTACACCACCCGCACGTCCAAACTTACAGCATCTGCTATTCCCAAGCGGTCACCCATCTAGGTACTGACCAGACTCGACGTTGCTGAATTTTGGTGATCGTGCGAGTACCGGTGTTATGACCGTCAGTTAAAATACAAATTAAGAATGCGGAGAAGTTGACTCTCACAGAACATATAAAAAATCGATGGATAACTTTCCATCGATTCTTTATATGTGGAGGTCTATGACCGCCCACGTCCTGAACTGAAATGGCAAATCCAAAGTGCTGATTACTTTTCCTTTTCTGGGGTAAAGATGCAAATAAATTGAAATTTATGCTTCTTTCAAGATAGCGTTGACAATTTACAAACAAGAAAGCAGCAATGTAGAAAGAGAGTTTAAAATGCCCTGGGAATAGGTAGGAATAATAATTTGCAAACAAATAGGTTTTTTGTTGTTCCGTCACTCTAGTACCACTTTTGTATGTAACCTCTTTAAGGATATAAGAATTATATATTTCAAAGGCGTTTGATAAGGTGTGACATACAGGGTTAAATCTATCTGCCTCTTATCATCATGGTTGATTCTCTAATTCACGAGAGCGTTTCTTGCGACATCTCGATCTCACGTTTTCCACTGACCAGAGGTGGAACAACTACATTGAATCAGTAGCTTCATCTACCGCAAGGAATGATGCTTCTCTTTGTCGCATCAGAAGTTTTTCTCGTCTGATTCCATCCTTCAAATCTACCATTCGTCCTTGCATCTAATACTATAGTCTTGTACACCTGCTGTTTATATCGAGGTTCTCGACAAAATCTAAAGACGGATCTGCAATTTGATTGGTCCTGCCTTGGCATCTAGAATCCAGCTACTTTCCCATTGACGGGCTATTTTCAATGGTGTCCCGACTGCATGAATTTAATTTGGCACCTTGGTCCCACTCTTTTACTGTTGCAGCAGTTAAATGCAGCCGCCTCTTTTACATCTTCTCTCGCATGTCCCGACTATGGAACACCCTTCCTCTTACTTGATTCCCTGATAACTACTATCTTCAAAAATTTAAATGTAACGTCGATCATCATCTTCTGATGCTTTGATCACCGTGCTTCTTTTATCTTTACTTCAATCCCCCCTATACCCAATCTTTTCTCTTACTTTCACTCTCTGTAAGCCCTTGCGTACCAATTGGAACTCCTGTTTTGCTTGGGGTGAAATACGTAAAAAATAAAAAAAAAATACTTGCTAAAATTCAATGACATGATTTTAATGCCGCTGCTTAAATTATCATTCTATATAACCAATATGTCATAGTAGCGATTCCTGTAAATTTAATCACAGTCTTATAGAGGATAGTATTCATTAAACATTGTCCATTGAGTGGGCAAGTTTTAGTTTCTTTCAGTTACATTTAGTTGTACAACTAACTGTTTTTTTTAAATCATAACGTTTTTATTAATCCATTCCATATTGAACATATGACTGTATTTTTTACTGCATTTCTTGGGAGAGAAGTGATGTACTCGTATCTTTTCAAGCTTAATGTGCGAAACTGGATAAAACGGCATCAGTTAGATTTTAAATTCGCGATGTCAATCCCACTTTCCCTACCGATAACCGCTACGCTACACATACAGAATGCGATGGGTAAATTGTCGCCATTTTATAATTTTAATTTCGCACATGAACATTGTTTTTGATTTTGTCAACTGGACAGTATAGTAGGGTCAGTTGGGCACCATCTGTGAGAAAAAGAGCGCCATGATGCAATTCACACAAATTTGGAAACGGCATGCTGCACTGCTTGGCATTCGCGCCGGGAGCTTTAATATGAAAATTTCAGAGTATCAATTTGGATGTCAATCTGAGGACAGTGCAGAGTATTCGGAAAGAGTTGGATGAGTCTAATGATGATGACAAAGATACGGCAGCTCGGAAAACTCACTTAATTATTATATGTGGGGCGCAGTTGAGCGAGACAACAACAAAACTCCTTTTAACATCAAAGATAAACTGAAAGCAAGGATTATGGCAGCATTCAACAACTTAGTCAAGGAGAGAGTTCAGAAGAGTTTCAGGTGATTCCGAGGTCATCTTAGAGGCGTGGTTTAAGCCAATCGTAATTTTGTATCTGTCTATATTTCTGAGATGAGGTATTATATACACTATTTAATTTATTCGGACTATTGTCCTCATCTTTGTCGCCATATTTATCACAACGTTGTACGCTCGTGCCTTCTTCAGGTGGTTGGAATGTCGAACTGAACCATTTATTTCGCTCACTGGGGGTAAACTGTTCAAGTTCCACGAGCCATGTTTGATAACTGACAGCCATTAAACATGGCACGTGAAACTAGAACAGTCTACGACAGTGAGCGAAATAAAGGGTTCAACCACCTGAAGAAGGCTGGAGTGTACAACGGCCGAAACGTTGTAATAAATATGGCGACAAAGATGAGGACAATAGTCCGAATAATGTAAATAATCGTAGTTTTATTGAATAAATTTACCCTTTATCAGTTAAAATCAGTTGTCGGTGTCATTTTCTTTTTGCATAATTTAGACGACAATTTATCCATCACATTCTGTACATCAACTAATTACGTTACTCTGATGACAAAAAAATAAAGAACTAATTACTGTTACAAATTCATGACGGTCGTCTTCGAGTATAGAATCCAGAGGTTGGCAGTGAATATTTCGGAGACAGCAGTGGATATCGCAGAAAAGTAGCAGAGCGTAGTTCTTCCGTCTGTCATGTTCGCCTGGCAAGTTGGCTCTGGTCATTCCGGTATGATAAACAAAGATGGCCGCCTTTATACACGACGGATACAATGTTCTGCGGCTTCTGATTGATCAACCTTCCATTGGTAGACTATAAAGTGAGTCAGGGTATTTTGATTGGTTCACTAGTTACATATATATACACAAAAAACTGTAACAATTACAACGTATTAATTCATTTAAATATTCTTCATTTACAGAATTGATCTTTTGCTTTGTTCTGTTCAAATTTGTAAAATATACAGAGACTTCGTTTTGAACAAGAATGAGAGAGTTTGTTGCATATCGAAAAGAGTGTCAGCTTTAGTTATTGCCGATAGAAATGGAAGGGTAAGCAAGATATGTCTTCATTTCCTACCACACAAAGATATGTGAATTCCTCATGAAATTTCCGCTTGGGGACATCACGTCTTTCTGTTTATTGATTCTGCAAGACAATACTTGTTCGCCTTTCCCCAATGGGCATTGTGCGTGTTACTAACTTGCGTGCCTTGACTTTGAAAGCATTTTCCGTATTAGATCCTTTTACCGGTTTATATGGAGAAAATAAAAATAGAATTTAAAGACGTATTTGTTTGCAAAGTCATTATTATTCCTACCTATTCTCAGGGCATTTGAAACTCTCTTTCTACATTTCTGCTTTCTTGTTTGTTAATTGTCAACGCTATCTCGAAAGACGCATAAATTTCAAGTTTATTTGCATCTTCACCCCAGAGAAGGAAAAGTAATCAACACTTTGGATTTGCCATTTCCTTCAGGACGGGGGCGATCATAGCCCTCCACAACTATCCATCGATTTTTTATATGTTCTGTGAGAGTCAAATTCTCCGCATTCTTCATTTGTATTTAAACTGGCGGTTATAACACCGGTTCTCGCACGATGACCGAAATTCAGCAACGTCGAGCCTGGTCAGTACCTAGATGGGTGACCGCTTGGGAATACCAGGTGCTGTAAGCTTGGATGTGCGGGTGGTGTAATAAATAACGGACAGGAATTAGAAATTGGAGAATCGAGTTCTAATTCCAATCAACGTTTTCATCTTCATTTACGCGAAGATGCACCTCAGAAAGTTATGAACACATTTATTCTCTAGCTCAGGTTTGGTTATTAGGAAATTTATCAATGAATAATTATTATCATCCTAAAATTAATAAGTCGTAAAAACAACTCAATATATATCAAGTATTTCTGCTTCAAAGTAAAAGTGTCCTTTTTGTTTCCATTTTTTCTTGCTCTTAATACTTTGCTTACTTTCTGAAAAGCACGAGGAGATTGTCCAGCATTCCCTGCTATAAAGGAGATAATATATTACATAGCAGTTCAGAACTCTTTTCTTTATTTTAAAAAAAAAATCCGTCCTGGGTAAACTACATCCAGCAGCAAGGCCTCTGATCCGGGGGTGAGGAGGAGGAGCTTAGAACTAGTTCTTAATTATGATTGTTCCCTGATCAACCCTGACCCAAGGTGGTACCACCTGTTAGGGTCCCAGCCATGGGCAAATAGTTAACCCCTAAACTGGAATGAAAACATTACGAAAATGTAAAAATAGTTTTTTATAGTAAAAATACCAGCAATATATTTTGGGAAAAATTAATACCAGCAATATATTATTGGGGAAAAAAATACTTGCAATACATTTTAGAAAAAAAATTACCAGCAATATATTTTTGTAAAAATTATTACCAGCAATATACTTTTGGAAAAATTATTATCGCCAATATATTTTTTAAAAAATTATTGTTAATAACTTTTTAGAAAAAATATTACTCGAAATATATTAAAAAAATACCGTAATACATTTTTGGAAAAAATATTACCAGGCTTACATTTTTGGAAAAAAAAAACATTATTGACAATACATTTTTTTTTAAATTTCCAACAACTCATTTTCGAAAAAAAAATATTACCAGCAATACACTTGAAAAAAATATTACCAACGGTTCATTTTTGAAAAAAACATCGCCAGCCATACATTTTTGAAAAAATATATTACCAATAATACATTTTTGAAAAAAATATTTCCAGAAATACATTTATGAAAAAAAAATTGCAGCAATACAATTTACAAAAATAAATAAATAAATAAAATTAAATATTACCACTACTACATTTTTGAAAAAAAAATTACCAACAATACATTTTAAAAAATATTACCAGCAATTTATTTTTGGAAAAAATTGTTACCAGTAATATATTTTTGTAAAAAATTATTATTAATACATTTTTGTAAAAAATATTACTAGAAATATATTAAAAACATACCACCAATACATTTTTGGAAAACAATATTACCAGCAATACAAAAAAAAACATTACCAACACTGCATTTTTTAAAAAAATATCAAAACAAAACATTTTTAAAAAAATATTACCAACAATATACTTTTTAAAAAAATATTACCACAATACATTTTTGAAAAAAATATTAACATTAATACATTTATGAAAAAATACCAGCAATAGATTTTTGAAAAAAAATACCAACAATACATTTAAAAAACTATTACCAGCAATATAGTTTTGAAAAAGATGGGAGCATCTTTGATTGTTTCCACAAAGGAAATTGCCGGCATACGAATACAATATATAAAGCCAAAGTAAGTGAAAACAACAGCACAATGTACTACATCGGTGCCACTGAAGGTCCATTCAAGAAGAGGAAAAACAACCACAACCTTTCATTCACCAACAGAAAATACTCGAACAGCACTATACTATTAACATACGTATGGCAGCTAAAAGACAGAAATATCACACCCAGAATAAGCTGGAAAATATTGAAAAAAGCACCAGCCTACAGCAACATTACAAAAAATGCCTGCTCTGCCTACACGAAAAAGTAGCAATAATATCCCATACCCCGCAAAAGAATTTACTAAACAAAAGATCAGAGATAATTTCCAAATGTAGGCATGAGAATAAATACCTGTTATCAGAATTTATACCAAACGCATAAAAAAACAACAACCACTCTTTAGTTCAAGATACCATCGCAATAATTACATTTATTGTTATTATCATTCCACCACCATTACTAATCACTTCTACCACTTTACAATAACGTTTAGCTACTAATATTATCATTACCACCAATCGCCCAACACCATTACTACCACATCACATCTACTGTTACTAAATCAATCCACTATAATTATTAACGTAAATTACTCCCCAGCATATTTAATACCACCAAATAAAAACCAATAAGGATTACGAATTGCAATTTCTATCCGTTACATATACGCAATCATAAAAAACAAGCAAATAACAGACATGCATCTATGTTTGCGTTAGCATGAGTGACATCACGACGACGATTTTCTCCCACTACATAATCTACATAAATCCAAAAATTTTAAAAAATTAATCAGTTTGTCTGACGATCGCAAAAGCGTGAAACCCAGGATCACGAACTCACATCAATCCAAACACACACACACACACACACACACACACACACACACACACACACACACACACACACACACATATATATATATATATATATATATAATAAAAAGGCTTAAACACTAATATACCATGGTCATAATTTATTCCATTGGAATCATAAATACGATCCAATCAGACCTACAATTGGGGTCTTTGGGTCTCATTCATTATTCATTTTTAGCCGATGCGTCTCCTCAGAATATTGTAGATGACTGATTCTCCAGTAATCTACAATCGCCTGCGGAAGCACATTTTTATATGTTGAAACACGACTGCAGTTGTGTAGCGATTCTTACATGTTTTTGTTGTAATATCCTAAAATAAATAATATTGGTCTACTCTCTATTGAGCCCTATTTTAAATTAAATGTTATGAACTTTAGAAGCGTATTCTCTTCGTTCTCATCGTACCTATATATATATATATATAGAAAATGGATTGATGTGAGTTTGTGCCACTAGGTTTCCCGCTGACGATGGCAAAGGGCGTGAAACCCAGAGTCACAAACTCACATCAATCCAACAAAAATATGTTAGCTCTATCACTGATATTGAACACTTTCCAATAAGTACTGCATATATTATATATTTAAAAATTCCATATGTATATATATATATATATATATATATATATATATATATATATATATATATATATATATATATATATATATATATATATAAACTACCGTATAATATGTATGTATAACATAGACAAACACGCACGCACACACACACATGCACACACACACACACACATATATATATGTCTGTGTGTGTGTGTACAGAAAAATCCCAAATCACCTCATATGGGGAATAACCTTATTTTAGCAGACGGAATTATAATTCTTCAGCCTTATTCAGCCCCGGTATAGACTGAGTTCATGTCGGAAATAGAAATTTAACTGTGAAAGCTTAAAAAAAACTAAAAAGAACAAAGACATTTTGTATTAGCTTTTTGATTTTTTTTTTTTTAGCTTTCACAGTTAAATTTCTATTTCCGACACGAACTCAGTATATAGCGGGGTTGAATAAGACTGACTATATTTCCGTCTGTCGAAATAAGCTTATTCCCCATATGAGGTGATTGTGAATTTTTTATGTATTAATTATTTGCAATAGTTTTAATAAATCAATGGATAATAGTTGCTGACTGTGTTCCGATTGTTGGTTTCTTTTATATTGCTTATTGTTAATATGCACTATGTCCTGGACAATTCCATAGGATCGTGATGGCTGATAATTAAGGGTTAAAAATATCGACAAGTGACTGAGTAATTAAATAGAAAACTTTCTGTAGCACTTAGCAAATTAGTTTCAAGATTTTTTTAATTATTATTTTTCACTGAATTTGTTAGTTTTCTATCGACCTCTTTGTTTTCTCTGCTTTTGACAGTAAGAAAATAAAGCTAATTGAGAGTTTGCGGACGATAAAAAAAATAAAACACAAAGAAAGACAAATGCTTCTATCTTTCGAAATCTGAGGATTCTGAGTAATCATTTTTGAAGAAAAAAATGTCAATTCTTTTTTGTCCTTCGTGTTTTTTAACAATGAAAAAAATAAGGGGAGACAACTACAAAAAAAAAAAACGACTGCATTTAAAAATTAACGTAGTTTTCATTAAATTATTATTTATTTTTCAGGGCTACATTGAGAAAGAAATTTAATTAAAATGTTTCATTGATTTAAAGGCAGCATTTTAAAATAGTCACATGCGACTTACTCGTGAAAGACCTCAGGACATTTGCTAATATATTTCATTGCACGTGTTGTGTGATTGAGTTAGTGAAGGGGAATGAAAGCTCAGGATTAAAAAAAAGTTTCTTTCAGTACAGCTCTTTTCTTTTTTTCATTTTTAGGCTTCCATACTTGCTAATTTGCGTTCGAATCGAGACGATACATTTTATCGAAAGTATGGATGTACCAAACAGAAGAAATTAGACAACTATAAAAGACTTAAATTTATATCGTGATTTTCTAAGTGTACCTTAGATGTGGCACAAAATTGAAAGCATGGTGCCCCAATGAGGAACGAGCTATCTATTCAGTCGTAACTGATATAGCCTGACAAACTTGATAACCATTACATCACGTCGAAGTGCACAAATTTAAATTTATATGAGTGTAGATCAATAAACCCATAACCTGATTCAAGTTTAGCACTTTATATGAAAATGAATTAATATATATATATATATATATATATATATATATATATATATATATATATATATATATATATATATATATAATATATAAAACCACTGCATAAATATTAATAAGTATTATAAATTGGAATTTCTACGATTTACATATGAGCAATCGGTAAAAAGAAGCAAATAACCGGCTTTAAAATAAACAAACAGCATTAAAAAAAAAATTAAAATGAAAAATAATAACAATTTTACCTCCCATAGTCTTACACAGACCCCAACATAAAAAAAGTAAACAAATGGACAGAAGATATGTCAACGCGTGTGCATATGTGCATACGTATATGCGTGT